GATGTCAACTAATTTGTAACCTAACTACTTTTGGACATAAAATATCAATAAGAAAAAGTTAATGTGATTTTTTTTTTTTAATTTTTTACATGTAAATTTATTTTATTTTATTTACCAATTACATGTTTGTTTGGTTGTTTATATATTCCGCTGCAGGTGGTCCCTTATTCGAATTCCGTCAGAATTAACAAAAAAAGATAATATAGAATTTGGTTTCTCATTTTATTTGTTAGGAATTCGAAAAAGTATCTGTGAAATGCAGAAGAATTTGTATTCAAAGTAAGTTTTAAATGAGGTTATTGATAGAAACTTGTTTAAAGAACACCAACTCCCGATTACGTCCGCATGGCTCCTGCATCACTTTACAACTCACATTCAGCTGGCTTTGTTATAGTCAACGACATGTGGGTTATTTTTGTCGATTGATATTTTTTCACTGCAGGGTATTTACATGCCTGCATACGTGTATGGATGTATACGTATATGCTCTGTACATGTACATATTAGGGCGGGCCAATTTGTATGAGAGATTGTTTCGGTTGCATTTAGCACAGAAGGATTCTACGTGCAATTCTAAGTAAATTTTCCGAAGAAACTACGGGTCTAAAATCAATTTGGAGTTTGCCAAATTGAGAAAATAGGTTTCTTAGCATTTTGCCATAGTGTCGTAAAGAATGCTTAAATGTTGCATAAAAACCTGCTATAAGAGGTTTTTGGTTATGGGGAATCCGTTTTTGCGCTTATCTTCTTCTTAAAGCTTCCCCCAGCGAGCGCAACAGTAAAAATTTTCACATTTTCTTCGAAGCCTATTTTCGTAATTTAGCAAATTTCAAATTGATTTTAGACCCATGTCTTATTCGGCAAATTTGCTTAAAATTACATGTATAATCATAGTCATAAAAAATTGACCCGACCTAATATGGATATACATATATATGTAAGTCCATTTGTATTGAGATAAACAAAGGATTCGTTAGTCACAGGTACAAATGAAGACCAAACAATGCACAGTTTTGAGCTCAAGTATGCTCTGTGCATGTACATACTTATGTATGTATGTATGTTGTTGACGTTGGTAGCTATGGGAATCCTGACGAGAGAGGGTCGAAAACAAAAGTTATTGCAACACATATGAAAATATCGTTTCTGGAGGCTACGACAGCTCTGAGCGAGGGTTGAAACGCGCATCAACATAAACGCTGATTTAGTTTAGATTTTTGTAACGTATGCGTCGTTTGCTTTTCAAATTTTCCGGAATATTGTTTTGTTATTTTCAGTTTGTAGTTTACAACGCGCGCCTTTGTTCACACACAAATTTCGTGCGCCAAGTGCTTTTATGAAGATTTTATTTTGTTTCTAATTACAAGATGTGATATATGTATTTGTTTCTGATTTCATTACGGGAGATAAGAAATAGTAAAATTGAAAATTAAAATGGAGCGTCGTCGCGCTAATCGCGCATATGTCAAATTGCTCAGCCATAAAAAGGATACACGTAAAACGCACAAACACAAGCAGCAAAAGGAAAGTCAATCGCACCAACAAAGTAGTAAAACGGACAGTGACGCTGAGTGTGTTGATGCAACCGCAAATAGCGTCGATTTGCTCGATGCCGCTGTTTCGCCTGTCAGTGACGGTTTCAATTCTTTGCATCGTTCACGCTCGATGCGTTCCTCTTTCCGCCTGCTCAAAGATAAGCTGCATCAAACGAGACAAAACGCTTTTCAATCACCTTTCAAATTGCATGCCCATCTGAATCTGCGCCGCAAAGGAGGCGATAGTGTCACGACAACAGCTAAAACGGTTACAGCCCCACGCCTACGCGATGAATTGGAGGCAGTCGAGGCGTTGACAAGGCCAATGATGCATCCCAATCGAAAGCGAACCGCCTCCCAAGTGGATGGGAGCGCATTGCGACAATCGTGTGATCAAGGACAGCGCCCCACTGCGTCGCAACGCAACAATCAATGTAAAACTAAGGAAATCGAAAGACTCATGGCTGGGTTGCCGTTGAGTGGGCGTGCAGGCGAACCGAACTTTTTATCCGCGCAACCGCGTGTACCGCGCAAGGCATGCAAATTACTGCAAATACCTGAATCATATTGCCTCAAATACCTGAGCGAACAGCAGCAACAAGGCAGCGCGCAAATCAAATCCGCTGTGGTAGTGTCAACGACGGTCACGCCATCAGTCAAAGCAACCGCAACCGCGACAATTGCAAGTCAAAAGTCTATGCGTTGGGCGGACATAGCGGCGTCGGCGACAATGTCGGTGGCTGATAGCCAAGAGCAGAACTTCGAAGAGAAAACAATTGAGTTTGAAGGCGATAAGCGGTTGAAAGGCAATCACGTCCTGCAGATTAGCAGCGACGGCATTTATGGAACAACGCGCATGCGTACAGCGACCATAAGAAAACCTGTGCCGTACCTGAATAGTCGTAGGTGTCCAAATACAATGGCAAATAAACTGCATGCACATAATTGTCCTTTTGAAAACGTTCTTGAAGAGCAGTGTCAGGTGCTGTATAGCTGCCTGACTGTTTTTTTACTATATACATATTTATATGTATTTGGCATGCAAAAGAAATTATTACTATTGATGTGGAAAATATCAACAAGTTTATGTGAATAGGACTGTGTCTTTTAAATTCTCTGCAAATCAGCAGTTGCCATGAGCTGGAATTGATTTTAACATGACACGAAGCGGCACTACTTTTTCACGCGCGAGCGTTAAAATGCTTAAAAAAAGTGCGAAAAATCTGTTTGAATGTGCGTGAGTCAGATTTTTGCGTTCGTGAACATGTGTGTGTTAATCACGAAACTTTCATATATTTTTTTGCGCAAATTTTACATTTTTTTGTTTCAAAAATGTTTCCCATATGAACTAAAAAGTAGGTATTACATACATATGTATGTGCAAGAGATTCGCTCAAATTAAATTTGGATAACTGAAAATTGTTTGTTCAGTGAAAGCCAATCAAAGCAGACATCTGCGCCGAATAATGCTTTGACGGCGTTAGGAAAACCTTACAAACATATCGGGCAAAAAGTATGTACTAATAAAATCTTTATTGGAGAAATTTTTATGGGCAGCCAGAAAAATATATGTTTTAATTTCAATATCAAAGTTTTAAACCAAACAAAAATCCCCATAAAATCCCCACATCCCCAAACGAAAAAATTTATCCCCAAATGGTTTCATAAATCCCCAAAATGGGGCGAAATACCCACATCTGGCAACTCTGTGTGTTACTGGGAGAGCGTATAGTGAAGAGCTTTTACATACGCTTTACATACACTTTTTTAATTGAAGCTTTGCTCGATGACAGCTCTTCGCTGCACTCGCCGCTCCACTATGTTTTGACCTATGGCGCTATGGCGACCGAACGAAATTGTTTATAATTCAAATTTAACTGTTTTATAATGTAAAGGAATGGTGACAACAATTTTAAGTTTTCATTATTTAATTTCACGGGATATTTTTATGTTTTAGTTACGCTTTTTATCATTTCTTCATTTGTATTCGTAACTTTTTATTAATTTTTTTCCATTGCGTAATTTGTATACCAACTTATCACTTCGTTTGATAAGATATCGTAAATTCTCTTTTTTTCAAACTGTCCGGATTTGGATAAGTGGAAACATTAAAAAAAATTCTCTAGTAAAGCTTTCCCAATTACTTTCCGTTTCGAAGCAGTTATAATACTTCATTTAATTTCGATATTTTCAGTTTATTTTACATATTGCATAATCCTGTTTAGAATAATTGCAAATCAAGATTTCTCTTTAATACCTTTCGTTTGGTACCCATATTGTAACATTTCATTTATTTTATCAATTTAATTGAGTTAAATTTTCAAACAGGTGGCAAACCTCCTCAAACATATTTTCGAGTGTAGGTCTTCTTAAAACTATTTCGTTTGATACCCACATTGCAATATTTCGTTTATTTAATCGATTTAACTGAGTTACAATTTTAAAAAAGGTTGCAACCCCCCTCAAAATATTTCCAGCAGTCATGTTTTTTAGACCTCTTTAATTTGATTCCTATATTGTAATAAGTCATTTATTTTATCGATTATATTTAGTTAAATTTTCAACAGGTAACAACCCTCCTCAAAAATATATTCGGCTGTAAGCTTTCTTAAAACTCTAAAGCTTAATACCCACATTGCAATATTTCATTTATTTTATCAATTTGACTGAGTTAAAATTTTCAAATAGGTGGCAACCCTCCTCAAAAATATTTCCAGCAGTTATCTTTCTTAAACCTCTAATTTAATATCAATATTGTAATATATCATTTAGTTTATCAATTAAATTGCGCTAAATTTTTTAACAGGTGGCAACCCTCCTTTAAAATATTTTCGCCTGTCAGCCTTCTTTAAACTCTTTAGTTCTATACCCACATTGCAATATTTCATTTACTTTATCAATTTAACTGGGTTAAAACTTTTAAAATAGGCGGCAACACTGCTCAAAAATATTTCTAGCTTTGAAACAGGTGGCAACCCTAATCATACATATTTTCGGCTATAAGCCTTCTTAACACTCTTTAATTTGATACCCACATTGCAATATTTCATTTACTTAATCAACTTAACTGAGTTAAAATTCTCAAATAGGTGGCAACCCCCGTCAAAAATATTTCCAGCGGTTATCTTTCTTAAACCTCTTTAATTTGATACCCATATTGCAATAATTTATTTATTTTATCAATATTTTGGGTTGGTTCTGGTATTACACCGGACAATACATAAAAAAAATTATTCAAATCGGTTCAGCCGTTCTCGAGTTTTGACGACCGTGACATACGACCACAACATTTTTATTAATATAGATAGAAGATAGAAGATAGATAGATAGATAAACAAAGAGACATTCACATTTATATATATATATGTAGATGTAATTAACCTAACCGCCGAAAAAATCTACGCAAATTTTTTTTTTTTTATCTCTGTTTGATGCAGAAATGCATCTAGATGCTGTAGGAACACTTCTGTATACAAAAGAAATTTAAAAAAATTGCCAACTTAACTAAATGGGAAAATTTATTTAACACGGTTGTTTTCAGTGCCAAAAAAAATTATAATTTAAGTAAATTAATTACTTCTTTTTTATTGAGCTTGAGGCCGTTATTATTTAACATTTCTGTGGACATTGTGTGAACAACAATACAAATATTTCAAAATAAATCGTTACTAGGCCAGAAAATAACAACAAAATATTGAAGATTTTTCTTGAGGAGCTAAGGAGCATATGAATTTTTTTAGTCTTTGCTCCAGATCAGCTCCAGCTAAAATCCTTTGCTCCTTAGCTCCTTGCTCCTTTGCTCTGCACTGCTCCGAAGGCCTGGATGTATGTATTTTCCTTTAAAAAAATAATTACAGAAATTGGTTAACATGGTTATGCGGTAACATACAAACATAAAAAAATATTCCCCTTTTTTGAAATCGGTTAAAAAGTGCATAATTAAGAAATCTGTGCGCCATTTGAGTGAAAATATAAATTTAATTATCGTATAACGCATGCTAGAAATTCCTTTATATGGCGGAAAGTGCCCGACGCGTCAGCAACAAAAAAATAAAATTTTTATTAAACTGTTCAAAATCATTCAGTTTTTTATTAAGCTTGGAATTTTTATATGCATGATTCTATTTTTAGCAAGAGCTAGGTATATTTGTGTAACAAACAATTGCAAAAATGGCTTGGCCCCTTTTTACTGGCACTCACTGTACCAGATGTATCTATTTATTTCCTTTTCACTATTATTTAAAGCAGTCAAAATTAGGTATACTTAAATATTAATAGCCCGAAATTTTTTCTAAAAAAATATTACCTCCACATCCGCCCTTCTGACATCTACGAGTATTTTGCAGGTGTTATAAAAGCGATAATAATCCTTTGAAGAATCTTCCAGTTGGCAACTGCTTACGTTCGCCTGGCGTTTTGCTACGCCAAAAATCCTTTAATACACTTAATGAGTTGGCTCGCTTTTGTCAGACAACCAGTTGTAAGGCGAGAACGCCCAACGCGACGAAGAAAGCCGTGGCGCGTGCAAGTGCACATGTGGGGGATGGTGGTAAGAGAAACTGCATACAAATCTGTGCAATGCGTAAAGCCATTGGGATAGGAATTACTCTTCTGCTAGAAAAGTACAAAGCTTCACTTAGCCATATTTCGTAAAACAATGAAAAAAAATATATATATATATATAAGTATAACCACATACACTTAAAAGAATTCCATTCTCAAGTTAATCAAAGCACTAAATACCAAGGATAAACAATTGCACGCGCATAATCATTATTTTACTTTTCTACATACCATAAATCAAAAACTACGGTGTTTTACTATATTGTGATGGTGAAATACTTTGGGTTCCACTGTAAGCTGCAATGCCATCGCCTTCATTCAATTACTAATCCATACACACAAGTACATGGCAGTTATATTAAAAACCGTTGTCACACACAATCATAAAATATAAATAAATTCACTAAATTAAAATCGTCATAATCCTTTTATAATATGGGTTGGTTTTACGCATCATTTCTTCACATGTTGTGAAATTATTTAATTAATTAGTTTGAGTGAAAATTTATAACACTTCTTTTAGTCGACTCTAGGAAAGATTTTAATAAAAATACGTTGTCAATAAAAAAATAATACTAAAGGTAATTCATTCCATGTTGGTACGGGACAAATCCTACGATTTTTTTTCCATTTACCATTTTCCATGGAATGTTCGACAATCAAAGTTTTATTTATTTGAAAATAGTCATTACTTTACTGACAACAACACAATTTGTGGTTTTCACAACGGTGTAGTATGTCTTAAATATTCAGCGGCTAAAACTATATTTAGGAAGTTCAGAAGGTACCCTTGATATCATAGTTATCATGATAAATTAAAAAATAGTTGGTTGTGGTTTCTAGTTCTCTAAATATATACATACATATTAACCGTTTAAAGTTTACGACATACGCCAATACGACAATTGCGAAACCGTCGTAAATACCCGAAATGTTTACCAGTTCATTTTATTTATCGCGTTGCCGCATATTTTCAAAGGTTATGTGTTAAGACGCGCCTACTAACACTAGGCGCCTCCGCCTGGTCTGATGCATCCTCCGGACAATGCTTCCGGAGTTTTTTGTGGACTCTGCATGGCTTACAACAATGCAGAGGTGGTAGCTGGCCAGTGGCCACAGTGCCTATCCACTACTTTTTACACCCCCATCACTGAGTTAATCACTAGGTCTGTTCGATGAGTGCACTAAAAGTGTAGAACAGTGCGAGTGGAACAACATCTGACATTTATCGTAAGAAAATACTTCTAGTGTAAAAAAAAACGAACGCTGTTACCGCGGTACTGTAGTGCACCCAACGAACAGACCTACTATAGCTATCAATCAAACTCTTCAATTAGTTATGCTTTTTTGATAATTTCGGAACTTTAAAATGGCAATAAAGTACTTTTCGTACTTTTGAACGGCTAAAGAAGAATTGTATATATCTTAAAGCATAAACAGACGGCAGCGTTGATCCGGATCAACTCATTAATTCGGAATTATCTCGGGAATTAACTGCAGCCGCTGTAGTGTAGTGGTAAGCAGTGCACGCTTCCACTCCACAATGCCTGGGTTCAAACCCTGGTCAAAGCAACATCGCAAAAATATAGAAAAAAGGTTTTTTCTTAACAGCGGTCGTCCCTCGGCAGGCAATGGCAAACCTCCGAGTGTATCTCTGCCATGAAAAACAGCTTCTCACAAAAATACAATCGCCGTTCGGAGTCGGCGTAAAACTGTAGGTCCCTCCGCTTTGTGTGACAACATCAAGGCGCACGCCACAAATCGGAGGAGAAGCTCGGCCAAACACTAACATATGTGTTTTGTGTGTGCAGTTGATCCGGATTAATCCTAGAGTTAATTCCCAAATTTAACTCGGATCAAGGGAATTTTCGATGACATCACTGACCAAAACTCAGAGAGCGTAGAATACAGGGAAAATACAAAATTAGCATGGACATATATCATCATTGGTAATGTAAACCGGATCACTGCAGCGTCTTCTAAGCAGAGATAACCGCTTCGGCTAGTGTAAGACATTTTAATGATGTGAATATTTATTTGACAGATATGCAACTACCAAGGCTCTTGGCTCCTCTACGGTGCGTTCGAGAACGGTGAAACAGTGTCTGACTTCATTATCGACCGCATCAGATTACTGCGGTATTAAGCTTATTTGGGTTCAAGGTCCGAGCTAATCGCCGCGATATTAATATTGTGATGGAGTTACTTCTCCGTATTAAATTTTTGGAAATAGTTTCATCGATTTTTTTTCCACTTGAAATTCACTGCTGATATCAATGCTTGCTAACTATTCATCGCCAAAAGTACATAAAAAAATATAAATTGATACGAAATGCACCTCAATTTGAAATACGATTTTTATAGCGCCGTCTTTAATAATCTTGACTGGGTTTTATTCTATCAGATGTTCCTTTGAAACTATCATAATAATGGCCTTATTGAATAGATATGTATTACTAAGGATATGCAACTTTAATGCATTCTATTAATAAAAAAGCCAAATCATTTTTTCTCAATCCAATATTTTGTCTAACCGCATGGGTGTTTGGTTTTAAATAAATGCGCTCAATTAGGAATGGTTTGGTGTTTTGTCTTTCATGAAAGCTACATTTGTACATATGTATGTATTTATTTGAATTTTTCATTCTTCATTTTACTTATACTTCTTTACAAAGCTTATCATTTCTATTTTTATTTCCGCATAGCTTTTTATCTTTTCATTTCACAAAAGCCATTACTTATTAAGAAATTTTAAGTTACGATAATTTGTATTTATATATTCTTTTTGTACTTTTCATATCACTATTTTCATATCGCATTCCTTTGTTTGGCCCAATGAAGACAATATTTTGCCGCATAGTTTAACACTTGATCGTGCGAATTGGCGTAAGGAGTGTGACGCCAAGCACCACGAAAAAGAAGCGGATAAAGACGTCGGTGGTGGTGTAGGCAGTAGCTATTATTTTATTGATAGCGCCCGCGTTGCTGATTATGATACTGATGATGATAACGCCGATGCTGATACTTATAGCGCGGTTGTATTGAGACGCCCAGCATCTACGCACAATAGAAACAGTAGCAGTAGAAGTATCAAAAACAATTATAGCAATCACTGTGATGTTAATATTATTAACAACAATAAAAATAATCATAGCGATAACGCTAAAAAACAGTACAAATTGCTACGTGCGCAGACAAGAGACTCACAAGAAGAACAGAAACAGCCACCACATAACAATTCAATACAGCTGTCAGCGGTGGATGGCGACGATCGGGGCGAAAGCAATTTGGATTCCACATTCCGTTGGTCAGAGCAATGGACGCCGAATGTAGCTGTTGCTAAGATACGCACTGCCATCTCTTGTACGTCTGGCGATTTGCGGGAAATGGATTTTCTATTGCCGCAAACAAGCATTGCAGCAGCAACAACAGAAAAAATACAGCACAGCAACTCGGTGAAAATGGCAACAACAATGCCATTAAGCACCTCTAATAACAACAACAGCAATAGTATTCAAAATAATAACAACAACGCGAACAACAAAATACTGAGGATGACCGCAGATAAGCAACGATGTAATGGCGTTGGCGACGGCAACGGCAACGGTATAGCCAGTAGCGGTTTGTTGATTGTGGCGCGTCAGGCGCGAAATTCAGCAGCACCGCAAAGTCAAATACAACGACCACTGCAGCCACAGGCTCTCGAACAGCTGAAAATGAATACCAACAAATCGATGGAATTAGGAACAAAGCCATCGAATTTAGCAATTTACCGACACTCGGCGCACGTGCGCACAAAAATAAATGGCAGCACCGGCAACGGTGGTAGTAGTAACAATTGTGGCAACACTCCGTATCGCAGTAAAATGTCTAAAAAACAATTAAAGTTGGCGCAAGCTCAGCTGGACAAATTGAATCAGATTAATTCGCACCAACATGGTATGCTAGCCTAAAATTAGGCAATAAGTTTTGCCAAAAGCACATAACCGCCCGCTACAGAGTTGCATATTCATGCGATAAATGACATTTATATGCGTACTCGTGTATGGGACCTACTATGTGAGGCTGTAGATACATAAATGCAACTAATTTCTACTAATATCTTAGATTATTTACTTCTCCGAATTAACTCCTAAGCTCCCTAACTTAGATATAGAGGCGCTGCTCCTCTTCTTTACCTAAAACTTTTGTACCTGTGCGCTTTCACTAACCTTTTCGCTAAAACTAATATTACAAACATACAATTTATATACAAACATAATTATGTATGTATATTCATCAAAGCTTGTCTTGAGTAATAAAACTAATGGTTTACGCATCCTTTTGTCTTAGCTCTATTTTCGGCTGTGGAACATGGACATTTGGACAAGGCGCGCACAATTCTTGAATCAACTGATGTCGATGTAAATAGGTGAGTAGCGTGCAATGCACTAACTATTTAACAAAGTTTTTTTAGTAAGGAACCGTTATATTTATGGATTAATTTGGGGTTTAAATAAATGTATGTACATTAGGGAGCTCCAGAATCGGAGTACATACATATTTGGCGCTTAATTTATTTTATTTTGTTAAAAAAGTATGTTTTTATGATGATAACCCGTGTCGACCCGAAGTTGAGCTTTTCATTAAGAATTTGCGCTAAGATTACTACCGTCCTAAGTTTGCTTCTGTAACTGATGTAACCTACCAAACAAACAGCAACGAAATAGCAACTAAAGGCCGGTTGTTCAATGTCTGGTTGTAACAAATCGGAGTTAGAAGCTCCGGTTAAATAGAACGAATGCTTTATCGATCACATGTTATATGCATGATGTCGAAATCGTCGATAATGATGATTAACTGGGAGGTAGTGATTGCCAGGCATTGAACAACCGGCACTTAGGGTTGTACACAACCTATTACCCAATTTTCGAAAAATTCCTTAGATGTAGTTTAGATTTGCGGTTAGATCCGGTCCTCTATTAAGGCCAATGTGGAGCCCATCCTAGCATTCCTCAGCAGCCAAATTTCCATGAATGTTACGATGTCCATAGGCCAAAAATATTCATAAGCTTCCTGAACTCCTCCAGTCTCAACTGATGAAGGACCACCATCAAGAAATAATTATACTTTTCGCGATTTTCTTCCCTTGTGCATTAAAGATAAAAAAGTTGTGGCACCTCGATTTGAAAGCGTATATTGACTTTTAGATGTTTTAAGAGTCTTCATGCTGACGCCTGACAACGCTTTTGCTGCTTATTCTGCAACTACCCCTTCACTAATCGTAAGTTAGCTTACATATATGTATATCGCACCGAAAACTCCTGCACAAGCTTTCTCCAGTCTGAGATCTTCTGCTTTTGCAGAACCTCATCGGTCAAGAAGGGTTAGATCTCGTGAAGATAAGAAATACATTCGGTTAGTGGAGTCAACAATTCTGAATTTAGAGGTTGAATTTTACAGAAAGGTTGCTCGTTTGAAAACTGTTGAATCCTAAGATATGCCATTGCGACCTATGGCAAGAGCTAAGGTACCGCTTATACCATCGGTAGCAGGGAAAATCTGGGAAGTGATTAATATGGGGCAAAAGGACTTATCAATACTCAAGACAGTTTTACTTCTCGACAAGGAAAGCTCAGGCATTGTGTCGAAGAGCAAAGTTAACAATGGCTTCGGACAGATTGTCGTTGAAACTCTAGAAAACTTTAGGTTATTCATGGAGACTGACGATGCATCCAATATCACCAAGAGGTGGACTATTTTTTACAGTTTAAGTTCTTAACCAAAATTTCAACTTTAAGTCGGCACGACCCACAGTGGGGTAATCGATCCTGAAACTGGGGCTCTATTCTGTAACTGTGAGAAAATGTAGTGTACACCGAGTGCAAAACTCACAACCAAAAACTCACCGACTAAAATTCAGTGAGTTTTTCGGAAGAGAAGTGTACACAATTTTGACAGTTAAAACTCATTCTCACACATGCTGAATCGCAAAATGAAGAGTGCACACAATTTTCAGTGTACACTTGAAAACTCACAGTTACTGAATAGAGCCCCTGGAGATCAATTCATAAGTACGTTTAATTTAAAATATTTTGATGTATTTGTATAATTTGCACCAAATAAAGTAAAAAAGGCTAATCCGAAAATAGTTTAGTGGAACATTTTTTTTTTTTATTTAGGATATGGCATTACCAAAGAGCGATAAAAATTAAATTTTAGTTGTTGCTCTTATAAATAATTTGTATTATTAATGATAATTTGTCAAAATCATAATCATCATTAATTACAAAGTAAATATCATCACTATCATTATCATAATTATCCTCATCATTATGTTCGTCACTATTTTCATGATCAACATCATCACTTTACAGAAGTACTACTTTCAAAAGATTTCTTCAGAGAGGAGATTAATTCACCCACGTTGCCAAGTAATATAATAACCACTATTTTGTTAGTTTTTCATGAAAAAGTAAACATCACTGTCTTTTATAGGTAATTTTTTATATATTAATGAACTCGAATTGTAAAAATACTCTATATGTTTTTTAAGCTTAGAAATTAGTTTAAAAAATTTCTTCGCTTGCGTCATTGCCATCCCAATCAACATCTTGATTATCACTATAGTTCCCCATAATTATCAAATGTTTTGCTTCTTTCGGCAAATCCTTCAATATTTTTTTGGGGTAGCTTTCTCATATTTGATATAACAGGGTCGGAAGTGATCAAAATTCTACTGAATATATCTTCATTCATCTTTTTTCTGCTGCACTTGCGAGGCAAATAGAGAACATTTGTAGATCTTAGGGTCTTTGTTCCGTGCTTCCAGAGCTTCTTCTGACAATTGACCATAGGTAAGAAAGCGTGGGATACTAAAATAAAAGAATAAAATAATCGATTAATTAATCGTACAGTTAATCAGAAGCCAAAAAAATTAATTGCAATTCGTGAGAAATAATCGATTAGTCGAATGCAACTATAATCTCCAAGGTATATGTAAATGAAAACACTTTTTGTTTGATCCCACCTATCACAACTACATATATGTCTACGTATACGTATATAGTCAAAACCCCTTGTTTTTATCCTTTCTATAAAAAATAAAATAAAATCCTAGAACCACAGGAAAAGAAAAATAAGATCACTAAATACCTGAACAAGAAGGTTCCATTGCCGTTTTTGATATATCTTTACGTTACGTTTTTCACTTTGCGCACACTCAAAGGAGAAAGTGACGACTTTAAGAGTATATTGCAAGAAAACGGAAAATTTTTGGGAAAGTATTTTATTGCATAGTGATGTAGAATTTTATCTTCGTTCATTTGGTACTAAAAACTTCTTTGTACTTTCAAATTCATTTTTTGAATTAATCTCCAACATCGATATCAATTACCCCACTGCGCGACCTTTGTGGTTTTACAGTAAAGAAAAACTTTTAACACTGTTTAGCCAAAAAGAAAAAAAATTTATCGGGTTTCATAAAAAAGTCCCCGCATGTTCTGCTTCACCCTAATGTTCATGTATAGTTGATTATATTAAATAGTTATAAATAATTAATAACTTCCTAATTTTTCCTTTATGCAAATATCTTTAATGTTTTTATGTATGTATATTATTTATATTTCGAACTTCAACAGCATTAACACTGATGGACTGTCGGCTTTAGATGTAGCTGTTCTTAGCAATAATCGTTCGATGACGAAAATGCTCTTGCAACGTGGCGCCATCGAGGGCACACAATGTAAGTAACATTCGTAGCGTTATTTTTGCCAGTTGATCTCGGAAAATTTTCCCCCAAAAAAACAAAAATAAGCCAATAGTAGCTCGCCACAAGTGTGATGTGCTTCTGTAAAGCAATTATTACACAAAACATAAACAAAATAATTTATACGAATATTCTTTTAGCTTATTTAATTGGTTGTGTTTTTTTAGTTTCCACAGATACCATCGGAAATAAATTGAATGGTTTACTCAAAGATGCTGAATCTCGAATACAGGATTTGAGTGGCACATCGGATGGTGGTCTCTGTCAGCCCACATTTTCAACGCGACCGTCCATATCTAGCATTATTATTGGTAAGTTTTGCACCTGATTTCATATATATTTTTCATATATTTAGTTAGTTAGTTAGTTAGTTAATTTACTGGGTGTAATAGAACAGAGACACCGCGACCTAAAAGATCTTTTGTATCTCTATAAAGGAGTCCCTAACCCAATGTGGCCAAGATACCTTCGGCTTCCCTTATGAATCCTAAAAGGGCCTTGGTAGACGAATTCCTTATAACAAAGGGTTCGACCAACGAAGATTTAAAGTAAATCAGTCTTTGTCTGGCTAAAGCCGGACAGTTACAGAGAATATGCTCCGAAGTTTCATCGGCCTCGAGGCAGAGCCGGCATTCCGGCTCTGTGATCGCCCCTATTCGGTGTAAGTGGAACCGCAATTGGTTGTGACCAGTCAGATACCCAGAAAGTAAGCTGATGTCAATTCTGTTTTTTAGGACGATGTCGTTCCTGTTAAAGGGGTAGCCGAATAGCCTGGCCTGTCTAAGGCCCCCCACCGCTCCCCAGTACTTACTGCGTTCTGAGTGTACCCACTCAGTGATTATGGTTCAGAATGGTTCAGGTCCCGAAAAGACAGTAAGCGATCCTTCACGTGCCAACTCATCAGCGATCTCGTTACCGTGTTTTTGGCTGCCAAAAATTGTAGCGTGTTAAAGCAGTCTCTAACCAACTTAGATTTGATAGTTCTGTTTGAAAGGGCCCGGATGGCTGATTGGCTATCTGAAAAGATAACTAAAAAAGCGCCCTTTAAACCCTTTTCAAGGTTTAGTTTTGCGCAGTTTAAGATTGCGACTATTTCAGCCTGAAACACCGTGGGCCATTTGCCCATGGGAATTGTAAGTTTGGTGCTAGGTCCAAATATGCCTGCACCCGCTCTGTAAGCTATCCTTGATCCATCTGTGTACCAGTGTACATATCTGAGATCAAGGGCAGGGAGCCCATTTTCCCAATCTTCGCGATCGGGGATTATCACTTGGAATTTTCTGCCAAAGCAGACCTCCTTAGTCATGGAATCAGAGATTCCGCATATATCCAAGCCTGGTATCTTCCCAAGAATACCTGCATGAGGCTTCTTTAAGAAGAAGCCGTCGTTAGATAGTCGAAGTTGCAGGTCCCTCGTGGCTGCTGATTCCTGAATAAAAACATGGAGAGGAGTCCATCCCAGGAGTGACTCTAGGGCCGCAGTTGGACACGTTCTTATAGATCCTGTGACGGATAGACATGCCAATCTTTGCAGCTTGTTAAGGCGAAGTATGGCAGGGTTTTGCATTGTCTTCTGCCACCACGCTATGGATGCATAGGACACAATCGGAAGGGCGATCATACGGTAGAGCCACTCAATCAGCCTTGAGCTCAACCCCCATTTCCTACCAAAAAGTCTTCTGCAAGCCCACATGGCTCGTGTGGCTTTAGCAAACGTTCTGTCAAGATGGGAGTTCCAATTAAGTCTCTTATCTAGCGTTATCCCTAGATATTTGACCTCATCGGAATATTCAAGTACTGTCCCTGCAAGAGTGACCGAACCAAGGTTCGGTTTATATCTTGTTGTAAACGGTATTAGAACAGCCTTCCGAGGATTTATTCTGAGGCCCTCATTGGCACACCAGTTTGAGACCACGCGAAGAGCTGCGCACGTAACGTCAGAGAGAGTACTGCCGAATTTCCCCGTAACAATAATTGCAAGGTCATCTGCGTATCCCACAACATCGTAACCACACTCATGTTGTCTGATTAAGAGGTCATCCACAACAAGTAACCAAAGCAAGGGAGAAAGGACCCCTCCCTGTGGGCAGCCTCTCACGGCTCTGATCTTCACTTGAGTATTGCCCAAGTACGATGTAATTTCGCGCTCACGAAGCATAGCGTGGATCCAACCAACAGTAGTAGGATCTAAGCCTCTTTGGGCCAATGCCCTTGAGATAGACCCATAGGCAGTATTATCGAAAGCCCCCTCGATGTCCAAGAAGGTACACAGAGCGATCTCCTTTGCCTCGAAGGCACTTTCGATCCTACTAACCCAGATATTGTAGGGCCGAATCTGTGGATTTCCCTTTAACATACGCGAATTGTGTGTGATGTAAGGGAGTGAAAGTGTTAAGTCTCTCCCTAATGTGGTATTATGGAACGAATGTCTATCATTCCATGTCAAATTTGGTTTGGAGATTACCGATTTAGGCGTTTTTTCATCTTGAGTGTCATTTCTTGTTGCAAGTGCTGCGGTGCATTTTATTCTGTTTAAAGCGGATAAAAGCGAGGCTAAAGACATTGTACCGCCAGTCGTTAACACCAACTGCACTTGGTCCTTCCATTACGTTCGTGGGCGCGCTTGCTTACGTTGTTCGTCCATTGGTGCAGAATTGTAGGATATTTTCACCAGAGCATAATCATCCATGCATAACTGTATCCATGCTGTCATATTTTTTAATACCCGTTGCCCGTGCGAACATTTCCATAGATCTTGAGTAGAGTAGTTCTCTCGAAAGCCTTTTCACCTTTGTTTTCCATCGTCCACGTTCCAATTATTTAAGGTACCGATATGAGGGAATAAATATTTATCAATTAATCTGTAATCACTCCACCCAGCAAACACAGTCGCTATGGTCTCGTCTCGAAAAACATGAGAGAACTGTTAGAATTCAATTAACGATTGGTTCGAAAAATACCAGACATTAGAAGCTAATTAGAATTCAACGTTATAATACGATTAGATATCTAACATTTTTCCCGATATCGAGAACTAATTCTCGACAGGTTTTCTGATCATCTTCTGACTTTCTATCAGGGACGTGAACCGGTTTTGCGCCGAACCGGTTTTGAACCGGAAAATCGCTGTTTTCTATTAATTAACTGAACCATTAACCGAACCGAAATTTTCCACAAATGTTTGATCCGAACCGAAAACCGAACCACTTTATGTAAAGGTTTAAGGGTTCGTTTCAATCAATTTTCAATAGATAAATGCACCCACTTTTTTTCTTTTAGTTAGACATGGTAATACCTACAATTCTTGCTTACCATGTGACAATATCAAATGTAAAGGCAACCCATCTCATTGGACAGACACTTGACCCTCAACCTTGCGCGTTGTTGCACTTGACACTTGAAACTTATAAATTTGCGCGTTATTTTTTTGTTTTTCGAACCGTTGAAACGAACCGAAACCCCGGTTCAAAGACCAAAAAACCCGTTTTGACGAACCAATCCAAAAGTGCAAAAACGGTTCAAATCGCTGAATCGAACCGACCAAATTTTTCATCCGGTTCACGTCCCTGCTTTCTACCTAAGAGAAAAACATTAAAATTGGAATCGTTTTCGAATCGTCCTTTAACAATAATGTTTGTTGGGCATTTTCTTTGGATATTGTCTGACCGTAGGATTTTATGAAATCGGGTTGGTCCCTATATGAAAGGACCACCGCCATATTTATGTATATAGTACTCTTGCTATGTTTAGGCGTAGCTAACCCGGAAATTTTTCTGACGCTGAAATCTTATCGACGTAAAACACTCCATCTTTTTATCGTGATCCATCGTAATGGCTATAGATAAAGTTAACTGTGGCACGTTTAATTTAAATATTAAAACTTTTTGTTAGTTTTTCTGTAGATTTCCTTCCATATGCACAAATAACAAGAAGTTTTCAGGCGAACAAAGCCTGGTATTAGTACTTTGGTTTATATGGGAATTAAGTGTCCTGCAGTTGCATTGAAGCGTCATTTGTCGGCAGTCCCTTGGCCTACCTGACGGCTTCGCTACTTATTCAATTAATTCTTATTGAGAGCGTAGCCAACATTCAATAATCCCATTCATACATAATTGAAATATGAAAAAGAAACGAACTTTTCCCGCATTGAGTTTTCTACTCATAGCTCTTTCTTAATGGATTTGTCAATGTTACACAATGTATGCATGTAGATCAAATATTGGAAAAATTTCAAATTCTCGTACATGGCTATCTTCAATATTTGTAGTGTTTTCCCCCCTTTTCGATGCGCCTACTCTTTCTTTTTTGCCATTCATTCCCATTGATACATTCATTTGTCCATTGATACATTTTTTTTTATTTCTATGTACATTTGTTTTCTATCGACAGGCAACACCGGCTCTTCTGTAACCGGCTGTACAGGCAACGAAATCGAAAAGCAAATAGGTATTTGGGAGCGTCGAGTGAAGGGTTTGCGACGCCTGCTGCTCGGTTGGGATCAGACGCGCCCACCGGATGCACCCGCATCGGTAACGGTAGATGTGACGGGCGAGAATTCGATTGCTCTGCAGATACTTGAACCGTTCGAGGGTGCAATTGGCACTAAATTCAAAGGTAAGTTAAATAAAATAAAAACTAGCGGGCAATCATTCATGGACGGTGGAAAAATATGAGTTATTTGTAACGGTACAGCATGGCGGAAACGGCACGTAACAGAAACGTGGTTTGTACACATGGATTTGATTTGGTTTACATTTCCGGCCAAAGCCATGCAATTCAATTGATTTGTTTACTTCATACGTACATATGTATGCTTTTGTTTACTTTGTATGAATGCTTGCTTGTTTTCGCGGCCACAATTTGATACCTGTACCAACACAACACCACACTGCCATTGATAACTACAACATACATATGTGAAACAGTGCAATGGTCAACGCGTGCCGACTTCAGCAACATTGTGGGCGAACGCGAGCTGGTGGATTGGACAAGTTTTCACGGCAATATGGGCACGCAATGTCAGATCGGCGGGCTGACGCAGGGTCGTCGCTATTTTATACGCTCCGCTTGTGGAAATGTCAAAGGCTGGGGTCCTTACAAAACGTCAGTGCCAGCCAGCGTTGTGCCATCATGTAAGCTCATGAACAAAATTACTTATTAACATCTACTTGAATATAAATATTCGTGGCGCTGGATAGGTTGGCGAGATTTCAATAATCGTGAAGACCGCTATATAGGCCGTCAACGTGTTTTGGACAATCTATTTACGGCGGTGCGTCTTGCAAGGCCAGCTGATGTATCCGAACTGACATTGGACGTGTGCTCTTCACAACGACGAAATCCAAAGAAGAAGACTACCATCAAGCAATTATTTTCAGTGGCGTCGAAATTTCAAAAGCATCTAAGACGGTGAGTTTAGCTAGTGAATTCATGTACATATATATGTTTAAACATGTCGAGAAATGAGAACCGGTTGATTTAAGAAAGCTTTTGACAAAAGTTGTAACTGACCGCTCATAAACATTTTCAGCAGTAATAACTACTATAAATGAGGGCTCAGGCCAAGCAACGTCAAAGCGGCTACTTGTCAGAGCACCTGCAGCGTGGGCGTTAAAAGCCGAGTTAATCGCAAAGCTGATTCCGATCAAGATTTCGTACCGCGGAGTGGATGCGAGAATCAGCGCTGAATTTTAAGTGTGCTCTAATTTTGTAATATTATTTGTGTTTATCCAAGTTTAGTTTAAAAAAATGGATTCACCAGATTATGAATACGTCGCATCAAGCTCTGTATTGAATACCTTTTTAAAGAAGAAGAAAGTGTTTGGAATTTATCAAATAAATGTAAAAGGTATGGAATTTGGTGATTTTTTTTTATCCCAAAAAGGCACCTTTTGTACTTTCTTTCAACTAAAATTTTCTATTTCTAAAGTTTATACAACTGGTTTATCTTACTTCGGCATTGTACTTTTGTTTTATAAATTTGGTCCTTATTTTATTGCTAAATGGAAAGGATTAAACAATAATAGCACCGCTTTTTAGCACTTTAATTTTTCTTTTTTATCCCTGTTAAAAATTGGTGTTCGCGTATTGATCTGCTTTACTCTCGGCTCCGATCGGCTTCCACTCTGCGGGGTCTGTGCGATCTTGTACGAAATTTTGTACACAAAGATTTAGAGCTTATTTCTAGCATTCGCCATCTTTTCTCTTCGGCTCGGCTTTCAGGTTTTAACTCTACGAGTGCTCTAAGGGTTGTTCAAGAATGTCGAACATATTTGTGTTTAATGTGATGGCGCTCTCTAATCTCTTTCGCCTTTTTTTTATTTCTAGCGGCATCTATCTAGCATGCATTATTTACTGCGAGGATAAAGTGCTGGTCACTAGCGAAGATTTCTTGCCCGTAATTGAGATCGACGAGACATATCCAGGTAGTCTGCATAGTGACTACCACTGGCTAATGAAGGTAAGTGTATCTTCGCGCATTTTACATATGTATATCCACCCACACACACTTTATTTTGTTAGGTCGCTTGTACTTGGGATGATGTAAGGTCCCTGCGCACCGATATGGAGAGAAACCTTACATCTGCTGTGCATTTTCGTACCAAACTCCTATCGGCTGTTTGTCAAATGCAATCGACGCTTGGCCTCAACGACTTGGGCCAGTTGTTTTATAAGCCGCTACGCGATTCCCATGGCACCGTTGTGCTCACTTGCATTCAAGCTGTGAAAAGCCAGAAAACTGTCTCCATACTCAATTCCCGTTGGATGCCGTTAAATAAGCTACAGAAAAAGATTGTCGCGCTACTGGAGGATTATAATATCAATGAGATGCTAATTTCTTCCATTAGCGAACAGATACACTACCATCAAGCGTCGACGCAAAGATTAAGTCCAGGTCTATATTTAGGCTACCTGAAAATGCAGTGCTCCATGGACCAGATACAAGTCGTTGTGCCTGTGAAGACACCTAATGTGCTGCCGCATTGTAAGGTGCGTGACAACAGTCACATCACCGCCGACGAGTGGCAAATCCTGAAGCGAAAACGTTCTTCTAGCAGCGGCAGTCGCAGCAGCAGTCCACTTAATATGGCGCTTGAGTTCAACACAAGCTCAGACGCGACCACCGAGGGACAACGACTATTTCTCTATGACCTCACTAATGCTGCACATAAGTTGTTCGCCTACATGAATATTAAGCCAGAGGATGCCAAAACGCATCGACTCTATGACATCGAAGTTATTGAGCATAGCAAAGACATAAGCTTTCTAATTATCTGTCCTGCGGTCGAGCTCACCTGCGCAGTGCCTGGCCAGTCAGAGTTGCTGCTGCAACGCGACGATCTCGCCAGCCTCAGCATACAGGCGTTCGAGATGATACACCTGCGCACTTACCAACCTGGCATCATTCAAAAGTACGCACGCCTCTCTTGCATATTGGAACTGGACACAGCTTTGGCTACTCATTCGCAACGCGAAGCCTTTTCCACCAGTGAGCTACAAACGGCCAAAGAGCGCTTGGCTAAACTTCACGAGCTGTCGGCGAACTTGAATGCAGTGTGGAAGAGCGTGCGCTGGCTAATGGACGTGATAGCATTTGCGCGCGACAAAAACACGCAGTCGTCGGAGGTCATGAAGGATATACTGGCCTATGGCAATGGCAACGGCAGTGGGAGTGAGGAACGTGTAGCGGACAAGCAATTGCTGCAACTGCCAACGCGCGATGCCAAATACACAAAGAGTTCGGGTCGTGGTAGCTGGCCGGGGCCAGGCGCCAATTCGCAAGGTTCCAGCAACAACTGCCTGGCTGCCGAGCATTCGAAGTCGGAGCAAAATCTCGGACGCAGCGCAATCACACCTACCTCGAGCTCCAGCATCGCGCCGCCTCAACAATCCGCCACCAAGTCGCACAGCAGCAGTGGTGATTCCCGTAAAACGGTGAGTTCGACGGGTACGCAACAGTTGCTACAGGTAGGCATAGGCGGCTACACTAGCTCGGACATTTCATTGCGTAAAAATAGCGGTGACTCAATGACCTCGTCGCAATATACAACGCGCAGTTATTATTCAGGTGCGGAGTCAGCTCTTGGTAGTAATAACGAACTAGGGCAGCTATTTGCCATACCGCCTTCGCGTTCCGATGACACGCTGGCACTGGGTAGCTTGGATGTGGGAAAGCACACACAATCCACGTCCGGGCAACGTAAACGCACTAGCTCTAACATAACACAGCATGTTACAACACCATCGTCTTTGAGCACCACTGCGCACTGCTCTAGCTCAGCACCCTACTTACCCACCGGCTCCAATCTGTCACTGAAGAACTCATTCAGCTCGGACTATGACATCAAAGCGTCCAAGATCAGTAGTCAACCGAAAGCTGAGCAATGCATTGGAGGCAAAGTGAAGGCTGCTTCCAGTGCAAATTTACGTGATGGCGGTCTTTACCTAAAGACAACGGTTGCGGCGCTGCCGAGTGATACGAAAGCAATAAGCAGCGAAGCAGCCGCCATAAGTGCACCACCGGCAACAACAGCAAAAACTGCCTCAATTAAAAGTATATCGCGACAGAGCAGCGAAGAGGATACGGCGAGTGGTTCCAGTCACACCTCCGAACAGGCAACAAGCGCCACCGGTCCAGCGGCCAGTTCGGGTATTATACAAGTTTATACCGCATATGATACAGGTCTAGCCAGCGGTACCAGTCTCAAGCTTCATGTTACGCCAAAAACAACAGCGCGCGAAGTTATCAACTTGGTGGTGAAGCAGTTGAATATGGCAGCGGTGCTGAAAGGCAATAATGGACCCATCTACACGGCAGAAATGCTGGATAACTTCTGTTTGGTAGCGGTTATTGGGGCGCGAGAACGCTGCTTGCGTGATGACTTCAAGCCACTACAGCTACAAAATCCTTGGCGCAAAGGCAGATTGTATGTACGACAAAAACACGAGCTATTAGCGGCAATTGAACATGCAAATAGAAAGTCGCATCTGATCTGAGCAGGAAAGTAAAATACAAATATGTATAAAATCGATGTTTGAACAAACAACTAGAATTCGGTAAATACTAGCCAACTCTGGCAATTGTTGTAGGGGAAGACGGATGCGACAGTGTGTAGCATTACCGCGAGGCAATCAGTGTTAGCAAATGTTCCTTTCCTTAGTTAATGCGCATAAAATTATTCAACAAGCGCTACCAAGTTGATTATACTTATTTGACTTGGATATAGTAGGGTAAGAAAATAAGAGCGGTTGAAAATCGTATACAATGAGTAACGGACTATTTAGATCCATTTATATCGGACGTGTACGTACGTATGTCAGTGAGGCCGAAATTTCGCAAGGCAAAAGGAATCTGCAATTTCTACGTTATTATGATTTGGTATGGTCTGTTCCCTATGTACATACATGAACAATACATCTCATTCATGTTTTAGGAGAAGTCAAATTCTCTACATACATTAGGGGTCAAAATTTTGTTTCGGCGACTTACTAGTAATTGTGAACAAAAAAGTCCAGGCGAGCATAGCTAAAAATTGAATTTCGAACCTCCTTGTTTTTAATTTTTATTTTAATCCTCATGCATAAACACATGTACATATATACACTGGCGGTCAAAAGTGAGTGCATTGTGTTTTTTTTGTTTTAATATTTACAACGTTTTTCAAGTTAAAATTTTGTTTGTTATTTTTTTATCAAAACCACATAAATCAAACAAATTTTCGTCTAAATTTTGAACTTTTTAATTTTAGTACGCAGATAGATCGGTTTTTTTTAATTCTAGTAAAACAAGTGCGACTTTTAAGCGGCTAAAAAATCGCGTTGAGTTTTAGTGATTTGGTATTACCGACGTCTTTTTGCATTTTTTACCTTATAAAAGTGAATTTCTTGTAGAATAAAATGCGCAAGATCGTTTGCAAACCAAATTAAAAAATTAACGCTATACATATTTTAAAAATTGCACTTGTTATATGCACAAACAGTGAGAAATCCGTCGGAAAAAAATTCATTTAAAATCAACAGGATTTTTTAACCGCTTAAAACTTTCACTTGTTTCACTATAATTACATAACCGATGTAAATGCCTACCCAACATTTTTCTACAAATTCTGATTAAAAAGTTCAAAATTTAGATGAAAAGTTCTGTATAAAGTTTGAAGGTTTGTGGTTCTGTGGTTTCGATTAAAGCATGAACCATATTTTTATAAAAAAATAAAAAAAAATATTTTAAACTTGAGTCTTTGAGTTTTTGGCACGATTATGATTTTCATTTTGATCAAAATACTTCAATAGGGCATAGCATAGCAAAGTTACCTAATTCACTATCCTCAAAGGCTGGAGGAAATGTGGGGGCCCTAATCGATTATTACATTAAATGTAATGCGTTTTCTTCGATATGTTTACAGTTTGTTTTCAGTTCTTTATAAATAAGTACATATGCACAAGCATTAATTTATTATTAAAAAGTGTAATACCACAGTAATTTTGAGAAATCTAAAAAGAATCTGATAAACAAGTCGATATTTTTGCATGAATTTATGTTTTGAAAATGACCGTCATCAATAGGCACTACCAAAAATGTGGATGACAAAACTTTTCTGGACATTAAGAATTTTCAAATAACTAATTTTCTTGTGATTGACATGTGGAGGCCACGCCAGCGGCTATCCGTCTCTGCCTACCGTTAAAAAATACTCAACGCAAGAAACATACAAACAAATATCCATTGTTATTTGATATACACGTCGAAAATATTGTGCAATCCGCGTTTTTGTGAATAAAACAAAGCAATAAACAAAAAAAAAAAACGTTATTAACAGTAAAATTTACATTTTTGGGTACTTCGAAAGTTCTTAGTATTACAAACACTTTGAATTAAAAATTATTGAAATCGGTCAATATTTTGAAAAGTCATTGGCAACTGGATAAATAAGTGCCCAGCAAACTTTTGAAGTCACTAAGAAGTCTTATCTCGGAGCCTTTACGCTTTTAATCAGCTGATTAAAGAGTCCGACATGAAGGTAATTCCCTTCTTCCGAAGTTCCACCTACTATTCATTTATGAAATATGATTCAATTGGCCTCATAGATGACTCATTTGGGGCCCTCTAAAGACTCTCAGTTAACTATTTTGCGCCTCATATCTGAATCGTTTCAGACTCTTTCTGAGGCTTTTAAATGACTATTAAATAGCTCCTTTTGAATTATTTTTTTTTAAGATTCTTCTATGAGTCTTCTTGGCTTGTTTCTTTGACTCTTATTGAACTCGCTTTAGAGCTGTATTTGAAGTTTTTTAGTCAGTATGCTACGTCCATTTTTTGCAAAAGCATTTAGCATAAATTTTTCCGCGGTCGCTGTGATATAGTGGTTATCAATGCGCGCTACCATGCCGCAGGGCCTGGGTTTAA